AAAGTGTGGCAATACTTTTAGGAATACTTTTAGGTCACCACAAATTTTCCATTTGTGTTTGTTGTAATTGAGTTAAGAAGAGTTTTCATATTTAGGTAATTTTCTTTCATGTGAGCTGCATGGCCAATAGGAACTGATAGAAAATGATTTCCATTGTGCAGTAATACAGCTTTCAAGCTTAGCTTTGATGAATTTATGAATAATCTCCATTCACTTGGATCATAGTTCAAATTGAGACAATACATTAATCAATAGATATCAACGCAAACAACAAGGTTATTTTTCTTCTCAAAAAAACGAAGAAGATTTTGTTGCCGTTTTCTGAAATAGGAAACTTTAACATCAGATTGGAGAAGATTCCACTGTTTTAATCTAGACCCTAAAAGTTCTGCCATTTCCAGTGACAAGTCAAGATCTCGAACGAGGTCACTTAATTCTACTTAACTCCATCTGTGTGGTGCATCATCTGTTGACACAAAATCAGAATCATTTGATGTGGAAGGCTGGCTTTCTTTTCCTTTTTCTATTTCATTTGTGCCTCCATAAATAAAGCATTATAGATAGCCAAGAGGCAAAATAAAAAAAGATAAAAAAATTTTTCCAAAAAATAAAAATTTATACTCTTGAGGATAGAGTTTTGCTTTTATCTTCTGAACTAGAGCTAATATGTAATTTTTAATGTCATTTTCGGATTCAGCAGGTGGAAATACATAAGAAACAACTAATTTTGGTTCAGATACAAAAACACTGTTGGGCAGTGTAATGTGCTTTGCTATTGTTGTTCGATATAGTGATGATTTAGTATTTGCGAAAAAAATTGTTTTGTTTTTGGTAAAGGATTTAAAAAATACATAAATGTTCCTACGTGCGTGCTCGAAACTGCCGTTCGCATACGCATATGTGCAGCCTGGAATAAATGGAATCTCCTTGTCTCTATATTGATGCGGCGTGACATCCCACTACCACTACGAACAAGACTATATAAATCTGTGATACGTGCAGAAACATGACCATTGACAACCTTGCTTACTTTTCTTGCAAATGTTGAAGTACCTCGCACACGTCCCAAAGGCCGTCTAAAGAAGTCCTCGCAGCAAACAATCGAGCAAGACATGAAAGCTTTAGATTTATATGAAATGGATACAACTGATTGTCTAATTTGGCACAAAAAATTGATGGCAAAGTAAACAACGTCCTATCTCAGGGAACCGGGTCTCTGGATGCTAAACGAAGATTGATTGATTGAAAAATGTTCCTACGTGTGAATGTTTAAATATTTAAAAAAAGCATTTTTGTTAAATAAAATTTAGTTCCACTAATTGATTATAAAAATTAAGAAATTCAAAATTTATTAAAATTATAAAAAAAATATAATTATTAACCCGTTTGATTTCTAATGAAACGTCGTCTGGGGATTAGTGTGAATGATCAAAAGGTACTTAGTTTATATTCATCAGTACATTCACTACTTCCGGTTAAACATATTTCTTTATTAATACCTTTAATCTAGACGGAGGTTTGAAAGTTGTGTTCGATGCGAGTGACAAGAACGTCGAGAAAGGAAAGTTTTATTATTACTTTCATATTCAATAGTAAATTTTACTTTGGAATTATTGAATATTTTTAATAAATTGTCGATTAAATTAGAATCGTTATAAGATACTAATACATCATCAACGTATCTTGTGTAGATGTTGGGTTTAAGTTCGGAATGTTGGCTGAAAGTTACTTCATCTAAATTACCTAGATAAAAATTATCAAAGAGAACGCCTAAATGGGATCCTATGGCAATTCCATCAATCTGTTTATAAAGTTTACCAGTAAGGCTGATAAAGGGTGCTTCTGTCCTATAGAATTCTAATTTTTGGAATTTTTTTAACAAGTTTATTTCATGAAGCTTAAAAACGAAACACAAAAAAGGATTCCATAAAAGAAAAAAATTCTAAACAATATAGAACCCTTGCATTGATATATCACAAATAAAATATCACAAATATCACAAGTACAAAATTAAAATAAATGAATATAAAAGTAAACAATCACGTAAAATCATGTTTAAAAGCAGTCTTTGTCCAAAAAATCGATAAATGAAACAACAGCATTGTTTTAAACAGAACAAAACAGTTCAGCAATGAGCAATAAATAAAAACACTAAACAAATGAGAACATCAAATAAATGGAAATATAAAAATGAAAACATTAAATAAATGTAAACATTAAAATGAAACATTAAAGACCGGTGAAAATGAAATATAAATTAATTGTAAATTGTTATATAATTGATAATAATATAATATATTATTAATTATTATTATTAAATATAATTAATTATAATTGAATATAATTGATATAATAATATATTAAATTATAATAATAATAAAAATACAAAAAATCATAAAATAAAAATTTAAATCCAATCCGGCGAAATATTTAAGAAACACGTAAAATTTTATTCGGTAGAAGATATTTTGTAGAAGTAGAAGATAGATCTGTCCATTATTCCCAGATTTCTCTTTTTTTTGCATGATAAAATCAATGTTTTTTAAAATTTAATTTTTTTGTCTATCACATCTCCTAATAATTTAAATTCTTCAATTGTGTCGATTATGCTATCCCCTAATTTTAAAACAAATTCATCACCATCTTGATTTAAATTATTAAAAATCATATACTCAGTATTTTTGATGTTCATATTAATTTTATTATAAATAGACCAAGTTTGCAATTTATCCAGACAATAGTTTGTACAGAATTTCAAATTCTTTATGTGTCTAGAAGTGATGACGAATGTTGTGTCGCCTGCATAAATGATGAATTTAGTTTTCGGTTGTATTGTTATAATTGATAAAAAGTATGAATAATTTTGGGCCCAGAATACTTCCCTGTAGTACCCTATTTACCACTCGAGTACCTGAGTTACAATGATTTATTGATACATATTGAAATCGATTTGTAAGGTAACTACGAAACCATTTCAAAGCATGCTCTCTTTTTCCATAATGTTCCAATTTTAGCAAAAGTATATCATGTGGAACGGAATCAACTCTTTTGAGAAATACAAAAACACGATAAAGACAACATGGCCAGATATTTAAAAACGATTTCATTAAAAAGTTTCATAACTGCATCCTCAGTCGAACAATTTTTTCGAAAACCAAATTAGTCTTTTGTTAAAATATTATTGGCACTCATAAATGACTCAAGTCTATATCTCGACAACCTTTTCTAACACCTTTGAGATACAAGTTAATATACTAATTGGTCTATAATTGTTAACATTATTTTGCGAGTCATATTAATGAATTGAAACCACCCTCGCAATTTTAAGACAGTCTGGAAAAGTTCCGGTTGAGAGTGATAAATTAAATAAATGTGCCAATATATGACAAATTGAATTATGTGTATATTTTTAGATTTTGATTGAAAACTCATGGTGGTCCAAACTAGATGAGTTGGATAAAGATTGAATATTTCGTCTGGGCAAGTTGGCATTAAATAGATGGAAGAGGAGATCCTTTTTTTTTTTAAAGTACGAAAACCATTGTTGGTTGGTAAATTTGTACTAAATAAATCAGTGAAATATCGGAGAGCGGGGCTATGTTAGAATTTTTATAAATCATGGTATAAGTCTGTTGTTTTTAAAACAACTATATTAAAACTTTTTATATGTATAAAACAATTTATTATTCACTTACTGAAACAGTTGAAACTGATTTATTTTCTACTATAAATGATGAAAAAACTATAAATGATGAAAAAACTAAGAAATTGCTAGGAATCTCTCCCTATCCTCCAAATGTCTGGGTTGAATGTTACTAGTGTGAAATATAACAAAACTTTAAAAAATTGTTATCATTGATTATTGAACATTGTCACAGTTATGGCATAAGTAATAGTCACTACCATCTGTACAATTCTCGTGTGACCAATTCTTGCAGTTGATGCATTGTATCCAATCTTCCTCAAAGATTCACCGCTAACCTAACGTACCGTTTTTTCACTGCAATTGAAAACGTTATCATTTTCCTTGCTTTTGTTTGTTTTTTTACCATTGAGATACTTGGATTAACATTTTGTTGCCAGTATTAATTGCTTCAAAACAACAGGTTTCATTAATTTTTTCTTTTTTCTTACAAAGCATTTTTGACTGAAGTGTCTGTTAAAATTACAGATTTTCGTTTTCGCCTTCCTCCATTTATCTTTCTAGGCTCAGCAGATGGGAATGGCTGTATTTCTTCGGGTGTAGTGTGGTTTGTAACTGGTTTGGATAGAGCCTTTTTGGAGTTTGCTTGAATCTGGAAGGACATGATAATCTGTATGCGGTACTACACTTTCATCTCCTGGACTTGTGCTATCGAAAGACAATAAAACAGGTTTAGTGCCAGTCTGATTAGAGCAGGGCTCAAGGTTCAAGTCAATCAGTAACTGCTGATGACAAGAATTCATGATCACTGAATACATTTCGATTGAATGGAAAAATCCCACTGACTCGAAATCCTAACTGAATATTTTTTGGGTTAAAGCAAATGGAAAAGCATTTGCTGCAATTCCGGGTATGTCATATATGGACATTGTCTTGCCCAAATTTGATCTCATCCAACCATCACAGGCGGCATTGATAAATCTTTTCAATGGTCCATAAACTGTGCGGTCCAATGGCTGCAATTTATGTGAGCAATGCGGAGGAAAAGTCAAAAGAATAACCCCATTCACTTTACAAAAATCCCTAACGTTAAGTGATAAATGAGATACGTGATTGTCAATTAGTAGGGGAACAGGTCTATCTGGTTTAGGTTTTACATTATTGACAAAATGTTCAATAAACTTGAAAAAATCATCTCCCTTCATCCATCCGGAGAAGTTAGCTGATCCAATGCAACCAGTTGGTCCATCCTAATGAAGTGATCATGAAAATTAACGCGTGGAAACACAAATATTGGAGGACTGCTATTTCCAACAGCATTGATCGCAATTGCTACTGTCACCAAAGTTCCCCTTTCTCCAGATGTGACTGATCCTACTTGCAACAACTCGATCAAGCCTTTGGACAGTGGTAACTCCTGTTTCATCAACGTTGAATATTTTATGAGGCTGAAATTTGCAAAAAACCAGATTGTCAAAAAATGAATATATGTTTGTTCGATTGAAATTTGTAGCTCTACTTGGATTTGTGGCTTTAGAAATTCGGATTGACAGAAAACTGTTTCGCTTTAAAAAAGACAGTAAACCGATCTTTGCCAGCCTGTTGAATTTCGTTCCATCGTTCGGCTAATATATGGTTTTTTTTACAGCATATTGATAAGCAAGCTTCTTCACTTCCTTCGGTGGAAGACCATGGCATAATTTTGCAGCTGTTGCTACGTAAGCTGCTATCTCTTGTTCCTAGTTGGTAATTGGTTTTTGATACTCTAATAATGTTGTTAACTTCATTTTAAATTGTTTAATAGTTAATTTTATTTTCGTATGTTACATAATTTTTATATTTTTTATAAAGCTCTTTTTTTCCTGATGAGTTTTTTAATTTGTGTCGTCATCCACGGTTGGGCCATGAGATTTGACTACTGACTACTGGACGGTGAGCTGAATCAGTTGACAAATCAGTATTAATATCACCAGACAGATATATAAATTTGTGTTCATTATCTCTAGTTGTTCCAAGAAGATGGTAAGATTAGAAGAGGGAGGCCTGTCAATATTTATAAAAAGCAGGTTTGATTGCATTTTTCTCAACATAATTTCAATAGAAATAAATTTATAAGTTAAATTATCATCGAATATTATATCGTTTATTGATATATAGTTTAACGTATTATTGACGAAAAATGCAACACTTCTGCCAATTTTTTGTTTTCCATTTATATTCATAAAATAGCAATTATTATAATTAATCATGTAATCTTTATCATAGTTTAACCATGCTTCAGTCAGACAAATAATATCAAATTGAAAACCGATTTCATCAATTAATATCTGATCCATTTTGTTATAAATGCTGTTATAAATACAATTCAAACTTGGAACACTAAAATTATGATTCAGGTGTGCAGTGGTCAAAAACGTTTTGATTCCGTCTGGATCAAATCGGCTGCATTAATAGAAAGACTGCTTAAAATTATTAAATAGCTCTCCCTTATATCACGAAAAATGCTGTATATGAAATGATTTATCTAAAAATCTAACGGTAGTTTGATTTATTAATTATTTGAAATGACTTTCATTTATGTCAACCTTTTCAAGTCGATTAGTGATTTCATTCACTAATTCTAAATGAGGTGGAACAACATCAGTATTATTGATTGCCTCTGGGTGTGTTATGCTCAAACGTTGTTGTGTCTGTGCGCTATGTTGATTATTATTATTGGAGTTGGTGTTTGGCTTGAGCAATTGCGCGGTCTTCGGTGACTTATGAAAAATGTTATTATTTTGAGCATTGTTTCTTGGAACGGAAGGATTAGGAAATCCAATCTCTAACGATTGTGTCTTCTGACCGAAGCATGGGATCAGTGATTTTGTCGTATTTTGTTTTTTTTTATGATTTTGATTGATTTGGAAGTAGTATTTTTATAAATTTTATTAATGACCGGATATATCGCGACTCCCGAAATGTTATTTTTCTCAAGGTATTTAACCACTTGTTTAAGAAAAAGTGGATCTCATTTTTTATGTTATCTATTTTATTATTATTTTCAGTAATTGTGTTCTTTATCAATTCTTTTATAAATTCAGCTTTATCATCTTCTTTTTTTCTCATTTAATTTGTTTTTAATTGATATTATCTTGTCGAACAAAGCATCAAAAATGCTAAATTTCAAAACATTCGTGCCTATCTCACAACACCAAAAAAAGCCTTCAGCTGTGGAAACTTCCTTAAATATTTTTTCCGCGATACCAACGCAGTTCAACCAAAAACTTTTACCGCCCGTGGCGCATCTAGACAACTTTGACGGGGGGGGGCCAAAATTTTCAAAATGTTTAAAAGTTTAGTTTTTTTTCAAGTTTGGACAGGGGGCCAAGATTTGTGGTATTTTAATGGCGCTCTGAAATTCTCCTGATTGTTATCAGATTTGAGATCTAATGCACCGTCATCCTTGTGTCCACGCAAAGCAAAATTTTGTCTTCCACAAAGTTTAATAGTTTCAATAATAGTGTTAAGCAATTTTCTATTTTGCTTTATTTTTGTGGAAAGAGTGGAGTTTGATAACTCTAAAACATTAGTTTTATTTTTAATCAAACTCAGAAACATTTCTGATCTTTCTGTAGCCTCTCCATGAAAAGATGTCGCTTGATGACAGTGACATTGATCTATAGCTAATTTATAACGATTTAAAGGTGATATAACAAATACTCCGACTGAGCCACATGATGGATGTCGGTTTGCATAAAGTACACAAAACCTACAGAATGCCCCTTTTTTCAAATCAGAATAAGACAGCCAGGAAAATTCTTGAAACCAATGGAGTTTAAAATACCGTTTTCTTTTACCTTCCAACACAAATGGAAATTTATAATTCTCGTCAGGTTTCCATAGATTTTTCAAAATTTTATCTTAAATCATTCGAAATGCTTGGGATTTCTGCCGTTGCATATTGTCCAATATCTAAAGGTATTGTATCCTTTGAAAAACTCTGACATGAAATACCAGTTTTGTTTGAAACATCAGTCATGTCAAAAATTTAATTTAATAAAGGCCTTCTTCCAAGACATCAGATTCTATAATTGTAAAAAAAAACGTTGAGATTAATTTTTTTAATTTTCCTACCAGACCTGAATGGTTAAATACTACAAAATTAATTCAAGTCTAGCTGGGTAATGACCGGCACGCATTAACCCTAATCCAAAAAATGTTTTTATTATTCAGCTTATTGTTAATTTTTTTAGTTGATAATAAAAAATTATTTCATATGCAATTATTGAAATTTCTAACAGCTTCAACTGTATTGAGATCATCGCACTGCCTCTGTTTTTTTTGCCGGAGTCGGTTGAAAAAAGTTTAAAATACTACTTTTTTTAAAAGACATTTTTTTAATTTAAAACGAATTCCAATGCCAACTGATTTTATGAAACACAAAAAATTAATATAAGACGCACCAAATCGTAAATGGAATAAAATGTGAACTGCGAACAAAACATAAAATTATGAAGAGTCTAAATAAGTATAAACCATGGAATTATATATATTATATAATTCAATGTTAAAAAACTATAATATTTTTTGATCTACTTTTCGTTGATATTAGTTTTCAATAAAAGAAATATACTGAGAAAACAAGATTTATTTTTATTTTGTGCCGCAAAACACTATTTAAGTTTAAAATATGAATTAGATTCTTAAATCATTGCATCAAACTTGTATCAAATTTATATAATAAATCAGCGTTATTTTTTATTGTTAAAAAGAGTCGATCTCAAATTTTTTTTATTATTTAACGCTGTCTTGAATTGAACTGATGATAACGAGGGGAGCCATGGCCCCCCCCCGGCCCCCCTCTAAATCCGCCACTGTTTACCGCTTATATTACAACTTATCAATTTTTTGGCTGGCGCCGTTTTATCGTAGTCGATACATCTTTCCTTGGATGGCATTGGATTAAAAAACAGTAGTGCCTGTGGAAATTAGTGTATAGCTTGGATAGGTAATACAGCTACACCCCACCTAGTTCCGAGCCTATATAGGTATACGCATTCAACATTCGCAAGCGACATGCAGTTGTTTTTCTTATTTCAACAATCGTTACACAGTTGTTCACAATTATTTTGTATTGTATTTTATATAATTTTATATTGTATTTTCCTTCCTATATAGCCCTATAGTTCAGTAGTTTTTCCTTGTACAGGTTTTGGTTTTGCTGGTGCGGTTAATGTGAACAAAGTCATTAAAAAGTTATTCAGAATAAAGTAGTTCTTTCGTTTTTCATAAGAAAGCCGACGATAATGTAATGTAACAAACATGTATAGCTATGTATAAAACTGTGTGTTGTGTATATGAGAATGTATAAAAATAATTGAGCGCACTTGTTACGCAGACCTTTGGGATTCATTCGTTGAATTCTTCACGTACCCGGTACACGTCGGTCTGCCCAGTTGTGGATTTTGAAATCGCAGTTTATTATGTTCCGTTCGTTGGGCATTATATCTGGTGGACCTCTTTATAGGTTCAGGAATATTTTAAAAATAAATGCGAAGATTTTGCATGAATGTAAAAACGGTTATAATTTATCAACAAAAGGTAGCTATGACTGCACGTTAGACGAAAGTACAGGTTAGTTAAGTTTTTTGTTTCAAAATTGTCCGCTAATTTAGCCCAGCCACAGATTTGTCTGATGTCAGTGAGGCTGCTAAAATACAACATTACGGTAAAACGTGAGATAGGTACTCCTATGATATTGTCCATGTTTGTTTACAAACAATCATAATGTACTTTTAATAAATTAACTCCGCCCATTTTGAATTGTCTAGCACTTGATTATTTATTTATATCAAATTGAAAATGATTTAATTAATTCGGTAAGTTTTTTAGATCATTACTTGTCAAATAGTTGAAATAGTGAACATTAAATAAAAAAAAGTTAAAATATGAGTAAATTTCTGTTTTGATAACAATCAATGGCTTATGGAGTGGTTAACAGGGTTAGGGTTAGGGCCTCCCTTTCTAACAAAATTTTCAATCATTTCACAAATATGGAGTGGTTAAAATTTTCAATCATCTGAGAAATGATGAAAATTTGTA